CCGCTGTGGGGGCTGCGCCGCCGGGGGAGCGGGGCGCCGGGCCCGCCGGACGTCGGGGCAGAGCCGCCCCCCACGCGAGCCCCGCGGGTCTACACCCGCACCGGGGACAAAGGTAGCGGCCCCGCGGGGGGCAGAGGATGGATAGACAGGTGTATCCATAGCCTTCAGCACAGGAAACCGTGTGCCAGAGAGCGAGCATGCACGAGGCTTCCAGCAGTGGAGATGACGGATGGATGGATGTCACCTTCAGTGATTGAACTTTGTGGGAGAGAGCAAGTGTGCACGAGGGCTCTTGTGCTGGAGGCGATGGAGAGATATGTGCATATAGACAGACTGATTTAATCTCCAGTGCATGAACCTTGTGCTCTGTGTCTATAGGGATCTACATATCTACCCCTGATCTGCGTAGAGATGCAGCACCAGGGTTCCCATGCTGGAGGTGACAGATAGACTGATAGATGTAGCCTTCAGCACAGGAAATGTGGTGCAGGAGAGGGAGGGAGCATGCACATGGTTTCCTGCACCGGAGATGCAAGAGAGATATCTCATCTCCAGCACGCGCACCTTGTGTTCTGTATCTACAGGGATCTATGTATCTATCTGTGATCTGTATAGAGATGCAACACAAGGGTTCCTGTGCTGGAGGCGATAGATGGACAGACAGATAAACATAGTCTTCAGCGCAGGGGAGTGAGAGAGGGAGTATGCATAAGGTCTCCTGCACTGTAGATGAGAGGAACAGATCAAAAGATCTCATCTCCAGCGCACAAACCTTGTGTTCTGCCCCATAGAGATCTACACATCTATCTCTAATCTGCATAGAGATACGGAGCACAAGGTTTCCTGCATTGCAGAAGATGGATAGATATAATCTTCAATGCAGGAACGCTTGTATGAGATGGAGGGAGCGAGCAAGTATGCAACAAGGTTTCTTGCACTGGAGATGATATAGATGTATCTACGTATAGACAGATTGATTTAATCTCCAGCACAGGAACCCTTGTACTCTGTATCTGTAGGGATCTACATATCTATCCCCAATCCGTATATAGATACCTCCAGTACAGGAAACCTTGTGCTGACAGCGAATTGTCTTCAGCACAGAAAACCTGGTGCAAGAGAGAGCATGCACAAGGTTTCTTAACCTGGAGATAATATAGATAGAGACTGATTTAACCTCTAGTGCAGGAAACCTTGTGTTCTCTATCTATAAAGATCTATACAAATCTGTAGGCAGAGTGAGAGAGAACACAAGGTTTCCTGAGCTGGAGATGATGGGTATTATATTTGTTTATGCATGAGCTTTCGTGAACTAGAGCTCACTTGTATCAGACGTGGTGAGAAAACGTGCAGGAAGCAGAGTATAAGAAAGAGAAATTGGAACAGCAAAGACAGGGGCCTGAGGGGGGGCATGAGTAGGGCTGGAAGAAACTAGCAAACCTGTAGGAAAAAGGACTCACTGAAATGAATCCAGGTACTGGGGGGCAGAATCCATCGTCCCTGTTTAAACCCTGCTTGATGCAGTGCAGTTGCTGGTTGATTGCTTGTTCTGCAGTTTCCCATTCAAATTGGTTTTTAAAAGGCTGCCATCTGAGAACAGCCACCCTCAGGTCAGTGATGGAGAGCCTAGGGAGGTTCAAGTGGAAGAAACCTGCCAGACAAATACCAGTGCACTGGGTGCAGCACGTCTCTAAAGGACACAGAGGCAGAGACCTCACCCTCCTGCATCTGTAACACAGACCTAAGATTTCTACTTCTGCAGGCCCCAGCTTACTGCCACTGGAGCGGGTTGTTCCACAGTTCCAGTCGTGGGCCTGTGTTCCAAACCCTTTTCATGTTTGTGGCTTGTTTTTTAAAGGATTTTCCAGCACGTTCACAGGCGAGAGGAGGTCAAAAGACGATCAAGTATTTGAAGCTTTGGGAACAACAGATGAATTGAGTTCAGCTATTGGGTAACAAAACTATAAATTTTCTGTTATTTGACCTTTGTCTCTCAAAAGCAAAGTTCTGATGCTCGTGTCATGCTATTGCCACAGATCTTTTGTAAAGGGGACACTGTGCTTAGGAGTTCATCTTTTTTACTTTGCTGTTAGTTGACATCACTACAGTCAATTGTGGTTGCTATGAAACCTCTTACGATGAAAGGATGCAGCAAAGCTGGAATGGCTTGTACCTAGTTGCATTTTGTTCTGTTCTTTGTGCACATGCTGTTTTCCTTTAAAGAAGGATTGAGTGACAAAAAAAATCAGCCTGTGGACATGTGACCCCTTAGTTGTTGCAGTACAACAGTCCCTGCGAGCCAGTGCGCATACAGTCGTTATGAGTAGTAAATATAGAAGAGATGCCAAACTGGACTCTTGTGCCCCATGACTGACTACACTTTCTCTCACTCTAGACTTGCTAGTGAATTAAGCAGTGAAAGTGGCCATACATTTGCCGAACAACTGCACAAAGTGAGTAGTACTATGTTTTTGGGGGTAGGGGGAATCTAACATAGTCATTATGCTTGCATTATTGGCCAGTGGAGTTCTAAAGCTCTTGGACTGAATCCCCTCAGCAGCTCTGAAAGCAATTGGCATCCCAGGCCTTTCGGCTGACTTGAAAAATCTCAGCCCTGATTGCTTGAAGAAACAAATCTCTTCTCTTTAACAATACCCTGAAGGAAACCAGTAGAGTGAGGAGTGAGTCAGCTGTGCAGCAAATCCATCACAGAGCTGTTTCCGATCCATTTTCATGCACACTTGGGAACATGCAAAGCCAGCCTTGCTGTCTTGCATCCTTAGATTGAAAATCGAGAGAGAAGAAATACTGAAGTGAGGATGGGGAGGAGGGAGAAACCAGCACCCACCTAGGTACATTTGGGGTTTACTAATTAGCCACACAGTGCAGAAGAGTTCAATATTAGCTTATTTACAGCTCTGGAACATCAAGCTACCTCTTCACTGTCTCACTAAAGCATCAAGTATCATCTCTGCATTTGCAATTTCGTTGCCTGTGCTTTGCCTGTAGCAAATAGCCTTCATTTCCCCCCCACCCTTCCTTTTGCTCTCTCCAGGTCCAGTGCATGCTGCAGGATGTCGGGGCCAACATTGCCACCCCCATCTCTTCAGCCAGGGAGGCTCACTTAAGTAATCCTCCAGTTCTCTTTTTCCTAACATAATGGCTGTAGACTTGAACTTCCCCCACATAGGTTGGAAGTATTTAGGAAAGCTGGTAGTGAACTTCTGTTAGTATTTGCCTCAGCAGTTGGGGCCTATGGCAGTCAAGCCTCAATTATGCCACTTTCCTTGACTATTTAATACAACAAATGTAATGTGCAAGATCCATCTTGCTGAGCAATTAATTCATGCCAGCATTTAAGTCACTTCCTCTTTGCTTCTCTAGAACGGACCTCATTTACTGAAAAGCCAGTGCTGGAGCTGGAGCAGTGGATTGATAAATACACAGAACAACTTCCACCTCTCACTGCTTTCATTTTGCCTGTAGGTATTGCTTATGCTTATTACTGAAGTCAAAAGGTTTGCTAGGTGGTTTGATTGATGACTGAATCTAAAACCAGTTATCAGTTCATAATAAACCTAAACATGAGGTTGATCTTGAGGTCCTGCTAACACATGCTTCCATCCCACTTTGGGGGGTTTGAACCAGAACTAACAGCCCTGAAAGGATGGAATAGATTAACACTTGCTGTTCTATTGTATTTAAAATAAGTTCCAAAATGCCTAACAACTGTAGCACTAAAGAGAAATATAACTTCTGTGAGTCAAATATGGTTTGCTTTTGTGCAGGATGTCATAAGCTTACTAAACTTCATGCAGCTAGGAGATGGGATCTAGTTTCAGTTACAAGGCATCAATGTATTTTCTTTCAGTCAGGAGGTAAGAGTAGCGCTGCCCTCCACTTCTCCAGGGCCGTCTGCCGCAGAGCAGAGAGATGGTAAGTGTTTGCTAGCATAACCTGAATAAAACTGAGGAAAAGATCCACTGAGACCAGATAGCTGCAGTAGCCACTGAGCCATGCAAAACAGCATCCAATGCAACTGGTCTCAAGTCAAATTTTAGGAAAACTGCAGTAGAATGAGGGGGAAATATTAGCTTGAGAGCTCTTGCAGTATCTGAGGCAGTTGCTCCAAAAGGCCAGCTTTAAGCCCTGCACTCTGGAAGCAATAAGCGAAGTGCAGCAGCATCTCTGCAGGACTGTGGCTGTAGAACTCCTTTTGCAAGCCAACATATATAGGAGTAACAACAGAGCAATGATATCTTGGCAGCAAGTAACCCAATATCTTATGGTTTCTTGTTAAATGGCAGTTAGTATAATTGTATTGATGCACATATCAATTAACTCTGTAGAATAGCTTCATGCTCAGAGCAAGAGGAAAGAGAATAGACTAGGACCTGCTCATACTAAGGGAGTGGATTCACCAGCAATAGTTATTCTTATGAGTTACCATTGATACTGATGCTTTACCCTACAAGTTACAACTCTCCTACATGCCAGAACTACAGGTTTTCAGTGCTTACGATCCACTTCATGAAGAATACAGAGACTCTTATTAACTACTTGAGGTTTTGAGCATCTTCAAACCTCAGAGACAAGTCTGTTCATCTGTGTGCTCAGCCAATAGATTTGACACAGCCATTCACTCTGTGGTTTTTCCCTTTTTAGCGTGGTTCCCATAGTGCAAGCAGGAGAAGTGGATCCAAACGTGGCCAAATATTTGAACAGGTAAAGCAAATGCAGGGATTGCTGCTCTCAGCAAGGATGCACTAGTGCTAGGTTCCTCTAGCCATCAGCAGCCACAGCATCCCCAGAGAGGATGCTGCTCCATGTAATGATTTCAGCTTGTCTAAGGCTTGACATAGACTGAGCTGGAAAGCAAGGTTGCTTGTCTAATACCTGGATGCAGCAGCCAAAAAAACAGATGCTTCCCAGGTCCTGTGGGAGCACTCATTTGATCCTCATTGTGACTGCCATTTTGGGCATTGCTGCTGTTTACTTTGTTTCAGTTGCTCCATTTCCCTCACAGCTCCCTGTGCTGTAATTCAGCACGCTGTCTTACCCACACTGGTGGCTAGCTGCAAACGCATCAGATGACAGATGTGCATTTCTTTACTGCTTTCCTTTCCCTGCCTTCCAGACTCAGTGATTATCTCTTCGTTTTGGCACGTTATGTTGCAATGAAGGAAGGGAAGGAAGAAAAAATATACACCAGGAGTGAGCCGTAAGTTGCAGGTGATGCTTCTTACTATACCAGGAGAAGCTAAATCTGGTAAAGATTCTCTCTGCAGGGAAGAGAGACTGCACCTGGATCCAGGGTACCCATTGCCCAACCATCCTGTGACTGAACTGGCTTAGGGTCTGCCTTTATAAACCTGTAAGGAGAGCTCAGCTGGTCTGCAAAACTCACCTGCTTCCATTAGCTAGTTTCCAGATCCAAGCATCCAGTTCTAAAAACTGCCTTGGAAATGGCTTCAGAATGACTCTCTGACAGCTGACTGAAAGTTAAATCCCATTTCACTTCTCAGAGCAGTGGCAGGTGTTGCTGAAGGAATTTGACAGAGCTCCGATGAAAGGAATAGAAAAATGTGCGTGACATCTCTCTCAAAAGCTGAAAGTATCAATAGTAAAGAGAACCAGGGCATGGATTCAGGGACCCAGTCCATAAGCTCTAAAATACAGCATGAGTAACTTGCATCAGAAGGTCCCTTTGCTACCAAATCCAGCCTGCTTTTTCCCTTTTTAAGCTGGCTGCACTCCATCAATTCTGGCTGCAGCTGAAGGAAGGGTTCATAGGTTTAAGGAGAGCACTAAGTGCCTGTCTATACACATGTGGAGAATCACTTGGTATCGCAGCACATCTGCTGCCAGCTACGGGCTAGTGCATCAACAAGAGATTAAAGAACCAGTGGGCCAAATCTCTCAGTCCTTCTGCAGACAAGCCCAGCCTTGTGGCTAATAGGAGTTTTGCCTGCACCAGGAGGGCTCTGACCTCATGAATATTTGACCAGCTCTTAGACAGAGGCCTGCATGAGGTCTCATTTTAGGAGGGACTGTTCCCAGCTAAGAAAATATTGAGTCAAGTGCAACTGCTTTGTCACCAGATGCTGTAGAGCACTTTAAAACACAACAGGAGTTCCTTTGAGGAGGGGTTGGCTTACAGCACCTGAACAGGGGGTTATCCAACTCCCTTGCAACATATTCGATCTGTTGCCTCTAACTCTTTCTTTATTTGGGGTGGGGGGTCAAGGATAGAGAGATTACAAATTACCTCCCTTCTAGCTGAGCACAGTGATGCTTAACAAATGAGGTGGGAAATGGAATCTAAACTGCTGATTTAAAAAAAAAAGGCTAAAGCAACTTCAGGTGAATTAAAGGAGCAAGCCAACTCCACGCCGAGATTCTCGTGACAACTGTATCACAGCTTTTCTAGCTGGTCTGCTGCCTTGAAGGCTGTAGGAAAACCGTTCATGTTCATCAGCACAACACATCTAAATTAGCCAGTTAACAGTGCGATAGGTATCTTTCCCTCAAACTGAGCAGCCGTCAATAAAGGTTCATACATCCAATTCCAGCCCTTAAAGCATGGAAATGTAGTTTGGAAGAGCGTGCAAAAGTGTCTTGACCACAGGACCTTGTACAACTTAAAAACAAGCATTAAAGAACCTCAGAATGCTACCACTGTAAAATGCCTGTCAAGTGACTGGGTTTTTTTACCCTTTTAAATTCTTTGAGTATAACTTACTGCAAGCCTGTATTCAGGAGCATTTAAATCCTACCACCTTTACAGTACAGTATTTAAGTGGGAACCACCTTAAGCAAAACACACACAAGAAACCCACCCCACCCCCTCTTGCTTTTGTTAACTTTTTAATCAGAGCTGGGGCTGAGTGAAGAATGCCTATCACTAATAGATAGTGCTGTCTCATTATTCACCTTTTTCTTCTTTAACAGATATTTCATGGCTATTGTTAACGCACATTTTTCACAGAGTAATTTTCAAAGCCTTAGCGTGTAACACATCCCAATGACAAATGTTCTTGATTTGGACTCTACGTTCAGCAGCAATGTCACATCAGGCATTTTCTCAATACTTACTGCCGACAGGCCATCCAGTTTTATGATCGCTGCGTCTCAGTTATCACTAGTGAACCTTAAGAATCCAGAGGCTTTTCCAAATTTAATTGAATAAAATTCTTCGTATAATAAATTCTTCACGAATGCTGCATAAATCAGCTCTGGGATAGATTCTTTTTCTTCCCAGCAGGGCAAATGGAAATATCACTAGCATTTCTGAACCAACGCAACTATTATTTAGTCATCACCATTTAACAAGATGTGCAGATTCAGTTCGTTATGCCGTGCTCAAGAACTTTTTAAATGTTTCCCCCTCTTAACAGATTTCTGGGCAAACTGTTATAGAACTGGAGCTAGGGGGAAGGCTGCTGTCTAAGCTGGGGCTTATTTAAATATGTGCCCCTCAGCCAGAGCTGGAATGTAGTAGTATTGAACACTTAAATCACATTGGTGAGAGAAAGCAGCAGGCTCAGAGCCACTTAAATGCCTAAGGGTTTGCCTAATGGGGGAGCTGCTGGGTACAGGTCACAATTAATTACTTATACTATGCATGTTGGATTAACCCCTTAGTGTGTGATCTCCCTGCCTGCGTAGCTGAGCAGGTTGGGGTGCCTCCGCTATTCATGATGGAGGCAACAGCCCAAGACTTGACCCAGTGGAAGGACTCACATGGACTTCAGTGAGTGTTGGCTCATGCAATACAGAATAAATTAAACCCCAGTAGCAGCATCGCTCACTTGAAGACCTGACTGCATGTACATCCTGAAGGCCAGGGGCTATGGGGTGCAGACAATAGCTCCGCCACTCGAAGGCAGGAGATTAAGTTGATAGGAGACTATACTGCTCTCAGCTGAAGACAGCCTCCAACTTGGTTGAGCTGCCCCTGCTAACAGCTGGGCTACACACATGAATAGGTTATCAGCAGCAAGAGCTGGTTACTCGGTGAATGGATTTAGGGCATGAAAATTAAATGAAGGCAGACTCCTCTTCTCCACCCACCCCACACTCCAAGACTGAGGTTAAGTTTGACTTCACAAGCCCTGTCCCCATCCAGCTGATGCACACCCATGCTCCCCAGGGACCCATTCCTACACCTCATTAATGTGAGGAGCTGGGGAAGGATGGCAGATGCTTTGTCCACCCTGACCATATGCAGAGCCCAGATACAGTTTTGCCTTGCAGGGCTTTATTTACGATTACCTTGGAACTGTCAGAGGAGACATATGTTGCTAAGGGTCGTTTATTCTTGTTTGGAAAATTTATGGCATCTCCTAGCTTACACATTGTCGAGCCTGGAAGGATTGGCCCCCGAACCTCTTGCTGCATGATTGGATCAGACATTGGTACATCTGTTAACACTGTAGGAGCTGTAAAAGGAAATAAGTCGAACTATAACTCAGCCGCCTCTATTACGTCCACACCACGCAGGCAGCAGGGCAACTGCTGTTCCTGCAGAAATGACACAGGCATACGGTTCGCCAAGTCCTGCGTAAATTCAGAAAAGCCAGCAGTTCCTTTGAGAAATGGGAGAGAGACAGAGCCTGCTGATCGCCTTTTAAATAGGCTCAGTGTAGCGTGGGAAAGACCTGGAGGCCAGGAGACTTGCACCGTTATAAGGATTAGATTCTGGGGCAGAGGGAACTGGCCATCCTTAGTGCTGCTCTTCCTGTTCACACATGTCCACAACGCCCCCACTCAGGCAGGTGGGAGAGTCTGCTCCTCTGACCTGGGAGAGCAGGAAACATTCAGAACAAGGCAGCCACAAGTGGAGCTGTGCACTTTCCTTCACGGCCAGCATTAAACCTCCCCAATGCAATTGGTACATTGTGATGATGACCAGGAAGAATTGGCCGTGGACTCTTCCTATGCAGCCAGTGGGGGCTGCATCCTGGCCCTTGGTGGTTGGGTTAAAATGTAAACCAGATCTTAGCATAACCACCTTATCAGGGGCCGCACAGGCAGGGTGAGGCTAAAGGGAACGGAGTGGCTTGAAGCTGACCAGTGGATGAGCTGCTGTAGGGACAAGTAGGGAAGCAGGGTCAGTGCTCTGTAAATCCCCCACAGTACAAGCCTGACCTTGGCAATAAGATTTTTTCCAAGCAATATGAGGTGCCGCTTACCCCACGAGAGTCATATATCACTCCCTGCCAAGCACCAGATAAACCTGCCCAATTAATTACTCCATGCAAGCCCTTGATATAATTCAAAAGCACTAATTACATTCCCCAATGCCAGCAAAGCTCAAATTAACTTGCAGGGAAATTATCCAGCAAGCATTGAACTGTTCATCCAGGAGCAGCGGGGAGGTGGAGATGAACGGCAGGGGCACATCGTATGGGCCAAAGAACCACATGCTGCCGGGCAGGAGAGCTCGGCATTCGACTCCCACCCAGCACAACAGAGTGCAGTTGGACTTCAATTTGTGGGAACAGGCTGACTACTAGAGGCAGAGAGAAGACATGCCTTTGGCTGCCAGCACTGGGAATGTGTTCCAGGTGTAATGCAGCACAGCAGATCTATCCCAGGAGGGCCTGCAGCCAGCAGGAGAAAGAGATCGGTTTTAGAGGAGCTCTTCAGAACAGTGGCATCAGGCTGAGAGATTTCAGACCTGACCCATCCAGGGAGGCTCAGGACAAAGAGCAGGAGGGGCAGGAAAGTCAAGGGAGCCTGGAGCTCTCCACCAAGCAGGCAGCACCTTACAACCTGCAGCTGTGCCCATCGCTCCTGACTGTAGCAGTGGGGACCGGCCTGGGCTGGAGGGTTTCCACCGAACAGTTCTCTGCCAGACACACTTATTCAACCAAACCCAAAGAGCTTATGGAACCACGGCCCTTACCTCCAACTCCTCTGCTAGGCAGTGTCCATAGGTTCCACTGCAACAAGGCTGACTGCGTGTGTACTTGGCAGTTCCAGTGAAGAGTCAAGGCCTTAGAGCCAAAATGGAGCACTTGCGCCAAGTCAGGACTTTTTTGCTCCAATTTGGACCAGGATGTTCTGAGGTGCTGCAGCTCCTGCATGGTGCTAGGTCAGACCTCCATCAGTGCCAGTGGGAACAGCACAACAGCTCCTGCACCCGGGCCCCGGGGACAGGCAGTGAGACCAGGCTGCAGCATAGGCATCTGAGAGCACAGATGGGAGTCCCAGGGCAGTGGTCACCCACTGGAAAGCAGAGGGGACGGGGGAGGAACAGGGAGTCTTGGGTCACTGTGGGAGGACCTGCAGGCTAGTGACAGATGCCTTGGGAGCCTTCAGTTAGCGGATGCTGTCCTGTTCTCTCCCGGCCTGGAAGTGAAGCCAGGCCAGCTGCTGGGATAACGAGGACCAAAACAGAGCTGGAGGGCAGCAAAGACCCTGCCAATCTACATTGCAACAGCTATTGGGGCATCCAGCCCAGTGTGGGCTGGTGCTGGCAGGGCTCCAGCCATCCCAGTGCCAGCCATATTGCCCAGGGCATGGCGGTTTGCTGGTAGTTCTTGCCCTGGGACATTTCAGTGGTTTCTGCCAGAGGCTGCCCTTCACTGTCTCTTGCCAGGCCCTGATTCCAATTCCTGCTTGTCCCTCCAGGTCCCATGGTGAGCCACAGGGCAAGGAGGCCCAAGTGCCAGCCAGGGCACCCCTCTGCCATCCTGATGGTAGGGCCGGTCACTGGGGGGGCAGGAGCTGTAGTGGCAGCAGAGGCCAAGGAGAGAAGGAGCAGCTTCCCGGGCAAGATCGCAACTAAGGCAAGGCAAGGTACCATCGCTTCCTTGCAGTGCCACCTACCGGGCTAAAACACTGACCTGGTACCACAACACAGCAGATCATGCTGTGAAATGCTCCCCTCGCAGAGCCAGTGGATGCTAGGTTCAGGAGGCCTCTGCAAGCAGCATCCCTGTCTTGTGC